CTATTATTTAAAATGAACAATTTAGAGTGGAAAAAAGCTTCCCCAATGCCCCTGGTGTAATCACCTGTATAAGAGATACTGGGGCATACTTAAAAGTGTGGGATCATTTGGATGAAGATAAAGAAGCATTCCCCAACATAAGAATGGTGAAGATAGTCTCCGTATCTAATAAAGCTTAGACAGTATTGTGCTGGGAGGGTCCCTCTTTTGATCCATCCCTCACTATATAGGTGTCTAAAACTAACTTATCCCTCGGACGTCGGCGGAATTGTCCTGGACGGATAACGTCAGTTGGGTGTAGTCTGGGGTCGGTGTCCTCACCAACGCAGATTTTCGACCTCTATGTGAATAGGTGAATCGTATTTTCTTTTTCTATCGTTTCAGACTTAAGATGTCTATCAAGTTAGCCAGTTTGAATGCGAATGGCTTCAGGGATCGGGGTAAGGCTGTTTGTCTGCTCCGTGATCTCTCGTCGTTCGGCGTGGGTGCCGCTGCGATTCAAGAGACCTACGTGTGTGCTGTCTAATGACATTGTCGTCTATTCAGCATATGGGAACCGATTGGCCAGAGGAGTCTCTTTGCTGGTGAGTCGTACTCTTGATGCGAAGGTAGACCTTGTGAATGCCGAGGGCCGGTTGATCGTGGACGATATTGCTGTGAAAAGTGGTTCGTTGCGGTTTATGCACCCAACGACCAGGAAGAGCGAGTCTCGTTTTTTTTTTTTTTTTTTTTGGCGTTTGGGGCCATTCCTGGTGATTCAAGGCGCCTAGTTCTAATGGGGGTGGTGCTTGAATGCCATTCTGGACCCCAGGTTAGATCGGGGGCGGGATCCTAGCGGGAGAAACGGGGGCGATCGTAGATTTGTTTATCTGATCAACGAATTTGGTCTCGTTGATAGATACCGGGTCGATCACCCCGGGGTGGGGGGAGATGTGGACGGGAACTCTTGGCCTTCTGACCTGGTGGTTAACTACCTGAACAAAATGTTAGAGGAGCCGACGTAAACTTGTTAGATTCTCCCACGTTCCACTGGTTAGGCTATTCGGGCCACAAACTCGTTTGTACCCCGATGGCGTTAGATCGTAGGCCTAGAATGGCTGGTTACTGGAAGTTCAGTCTGTCTTAACTGGACAGGCGGGATTTCAAGGAGCAGCTAACTCGCTATAACTCGCTTTAGTTTACGTGCATCTCGAGGAAACGAGTTCTTAAAGCTTTTTTCTTTCCTTCGAGTTCTTGTCTTACTTTTTCAACAGCTTTCATTATCATTCGAGGATCTCTGCAGTGCTCCTTTGATATCTCCAATGTGGACATTCCGTTACTCTATATCTGTCATTTTCTGTTTTAGCTGTTAGATTCTGTTTCAACATATATTATGGAGAAATAGAAAAAAATATTTTTATTAGATTTCAGAGGTCTTAAACTAATATTAGTTTAATCTGCATATTAACTTCAGTCCATTTTCTATATACAGATATAAGAAAGTTGTCGGGACCGGAGAAGTCTCTTATATCCGGGTTTCTCTTATATCCGGGGTTGGTCTAATTTATATACATTAACACAGGCTGTAATTTGGGACCAGAGAAAATCTCTCTTATATCCGGGTTTCTCTTATATCCGGATTTCTTATATCCGGGTTACACTGTACCTCAAAATCTAAGCATTAAACATGGCATAAAATTTAGTTAAATATTTTACTAATAGTGGAAATACAGGAATTTAAATTTGACAAATATTAGTTCAGATCATTTTAGTTATTGGGGTTTATTTGATTTGCATGATAGCTTTAGACTAGCTGTATAAAATACAAGCAGATTCCAACCCGAATTGCAAACTACCTTTAATAACACTCCCGACTGTCAATGCCGGTCGAAGTTAAATATTATTTAAAAATCAAGATGTCTACTGAAATAATTATAACTAACACCAGAACTTGACTCGTATTGTTAAACAAATAATGAAATCTAATATAAACCGTTGCTTTAAATAGTGTGTGGAATTATGCAGTTGCCCAATACCATCATGCACCTTCCGTCCGAGGTTTATGCCGGTGTTATTTGTTTCAGTACATCCATAGAAAATCTATAAATATCCATTATTTATTAACGAACTTATGATAATTAATGATTAGATTGGTGGTTTTAACACGGTATATTTCTTTTTTTAATTTAAATACCATAATAAATGCACAAAAAAAAACCAAAGAAAATTAAGGCAGAGATGTGTATTCTCACTGGACTTTATTAACATCAAACAAAGTCAGTCCTAAGAAAAATAGTTCTTCCAGGATTTATTATTGACGATCAGAATCCTAGCTAAATAAAATACGCTGATTACACTCTACCAAAAAACTTAAGACTTTTAGACATTATCTTAAATTAAATGTTAAGAATAGACGATCAATTGTAAGGATACAGATTGTTTGGAAACGTTTCATTTCATTATTTGTTGAACAATAGAAGTGAAGTTCTGATGAAAGTTATTTGAAATATGAAGAGGAGACATGATGCCACACAGTTGTTATATTCCGTAGAAAGATCATGAGAATACCATAGACGGAGCATTTGATTAAAAAATAAATTTTAAAGAAATTTATTATAATTATATATTTTCCTATCAGTATCATTTGGTAACATTCAATGAAGATGAAATGAAGAATGTCTATAGAATACTTTAAAAAGGAAAAACTGCGTAGTGATATTTCCGAATACGTCATGTCTTAGATTTTCGATATAACTTAGAAAAAAACCTCACGAGAAATCCCGATAAGGTCTGAGATACTTTTCAAAAATTCTGTTTCTTAAATATCAGTTATAATGATTACAAACCGGGGACACTTCCTGATACTGCTTGACCTCATCCGACAATATTGTCACCGCTGCGCAATATTAGACACCATAGAAAAACACTTAACGCATAAGAAGAAAAAAAAAACATAAAAGCCGATGCCACTTGACAGACATATTAAGCATTCTGAGTTAGAAATACTGGAGTAACTGCTTCAAAACAACGGCCATCACAGACAACATGCGACACTGGGTAAAAGAAAAACACGAAGCAAAGTCAGGAACCCCATAAAAAAACAGGGCATCTGAAAAAACTACTTAATATTGAACATAAACACCTGAATCTTCTTGAAAATACCTTGATGTATTCTGTCTGAAATATTGGCTTGATATCTACTTATAAGCATATCATTTCAGTTATGTGAAAATAAGTAGAATTTTATATATATATATGCAAATTTTATTAAAAACGACTGACAAGGTACTGCGATTTCGCTATTTTCTGAACATAAATTTTATAAAAAATTGTACAAATTTTCTATATATCCAAGCACTTTCGGCTATTCAATAAATCATTATCAATTATACCAACACATAAGCCTCTAGTGGCCCGCTGGCGGGAGCCAATTGCAACACCAACGGTTCTCTGGTGGCACCTATCGGCAGGCCACCGATTGGGTTCTAACTGTCCTTCGGTGGTAACATTTGCGAGACGTACACGCCAGTGGCCCGACAGCAGTAATCGTTAGTGACATGCCACGCAGTGGAAGAATGGCGGCTTGCATGTAGAGATTTTTTTAAAACTTATATAGCACACCTTAAGATTGTATACTTAAATAATTCAAAAACTTTGTCACTTTTCAAAAAAATAAATAATTCGAGATTTTCGTTTAAGTGACCTTGTATCTGTTTAGTTTGAAATTGCAAAAGAATCTAATTTTATGCCGGGGAAGATTTCATTGAATTATAAAAATATTGAGAAACAATATACGGTAGGCAGTCACGGAGAGGGATTTGAAAATATATTTGTGTCACAGTTGAAAAATTAGTTTGAATTAAGACAAAGGGGACCAACACTTCGCTTCTAAATTTTTACTTAGCTATTTTGATACTATATAAAAAGCGTTGACTAGAAAGACTGTCTACCTTCATGTGCTTCTTAATATCTACGTACAAAGCTACTGCACAATCACATCCAACTTAAAATCACCACTGTGACACTGTTTAATTAGCTACCTACCGTCTACCAAGTTGGGTATTGTCATGTTTGTCAACTAAAGAACTTAATTACTTAACAGCATACCAACAAAGGAAAGTCTCAACTATGCGATCATGCACATAGGCACACATATGTTAACAAAGTAAACTAATGATATACTTGCGTACCAGGATATTTATATATGAACATACCAATCATGCTAGGTAGGTGCATACTAATCAGAGAAAGATCCTGCTTAAATGAATAGCTTCTTCCGATTTCAAATAACTGGCCTATATATATATATATATATATATATATATATATATATATATATATATATATATATATATATATATATATATATATATAGTTAGCGTTGTTTTGAAGCGACCAATTTTAATGCGAAAATAAAACTAAAGTGCGTGTAACAAAAATCTATTATCTGACAATTTAATCTAACACAGTTTTAAAGAACCTTCCAATTTGAAAACGTTAAAGAACAGGAACAAAAGCTATAGAAAAACCTCTATTGTTACAATAGGAACTAATCGAAAAAAAAACTTGTTATTTACAATCTAAAAATCGATAGATTTAACTGGGAAAATACAGAATATTCTATTTCTAAAATGACATGGAAACACATTCATTTTCCTTTAGTTATGCTTTTTTATGTAACAAGACCCATAAAGACCCAGTTTTTTATGACTCCTCAGCTGCACAGTTGTCAGCAAATTCGTCTTGAAAATAGTATGAACTATATAGTTTACCAGTGTCATAATATATATTTACTGGCCATCGTTGCTTTGCCTTTATATTTGAACATATACATAGAAGTAAAAATTGCAGTATGTCTATCACTCATTTCGACCACGATATTTTACCGATACACTGAGACAGGTTGCAATTTTGTGACTTCAGTAATTGTCAAAATGAAGATAGTTTAGCGCCAAACTGCTTCAGAGTTAAATTCCTGTTGTTTAAACTATTGTTCCCCCAATACGAATGCCAAGAACTACAAGAGTTAGAGGGTAAATGAACGAGTTTGATATCAGGGCGTAAAGGGAGGAGATAAATGTATGTCGTGGCGACATGTTGGATAGCCAATGGTTGGTCTTTAATTGATAGAGATGGGGAAGGTAGAGTAAACAAGAAAAATGAGATAGATAGAAGGGTAAAGGAGATGTATAGATAGGAAGAAATGGTCAAGAAGAAAAATGAGTCAGATAGGGAGAGAAGGATAAATAATATGAAGAAAAAGATGAAAATGAGAGAAAGCTGAGGAAGAATAAGCAGTGATAGGGAGAGAGGGGTGAAAAAGAAAAGAAGCAGAACAATTAGAGATGGGAAGAGAAGGGTTACGTTTATTTAAGTTTAGTTTATTTTCTGAAATGTCATAAATTATAAGAGGAAAAGATGTAAGAATATTTCCAAAAGTAAAAAAAAATGTATAGAAAATTGGCGTAATGTTAAAATAACAAAGGAATCAATGTATTTGAATAGAAGAAGAAAAGGCAAAAGACGAAGAAGAAACAAGAAAAAAGAAAGAAACAAGAAAAAAAACGAAGAAGAAAAAGAAACAAGAAAAAGACGAAGATGATGATGAAAAAGAATGAATAGATAGGGAAACAAGGGTAGAAAAGAAAAAGAAAAATGAGTAGAGATAGACTAAGAAGAAAAACAAGAATGAATGATTAGAGATAGGGAAAGAACGATAAAGAAGAAGAATGATTAAAAATATAGCGTGTGTAGAAAAGGCTTCTTTTCCCATTCCTACTCATCTGACATCAAATTTTCTCTTTCACTAACATTTACTGACCTTTTTATTTATTTATTTATTTTTATTTTTATTTTTTTGCGGTTTTCTTACTAAGTCCCTTTGTGATTTTTCTGAGCCATTCTGTAGTGTCTAATGGCGTAAAAATACACAAAGACCGTCCTGACACCCAATTTGACGAGGATATTGCCTGGGAAATGTGAGCGATAAATTGACAGGTTTTGATAAGAGCTGTACATAAATTTGCACTGATATGTAATATATGTAATATCTTTAGGTTTCAGATCGAAGTTATTACGTCTTTGAATTTTTCTCTCATGTCGTTTTGGATTTTTTCTTCAATCTTAAAAATCAAACCTTACAATACCCAGCCATGTTGCTTTCCCAGTGGCTCTCCCGCATCATAAGATACACTGTGATTGTGTTAAGGATAGACAACTGACAATAAATCTGGTACTGAACGGGATAGTCATATTAAGACTAATTAATTAACCATCAGAGCCATAACTTGAGCTGCATCAGTGTTGCTTCTTCTTCTTTATAGGTACTTTTCTCTCCTTATTTCTACCGACCATCGTGTTTAAACTATTTACTATACTCATTATATAAATTATGAATATATAGAAGTTTTTCTTATTATTTTCCTGTTAATGAAAACGTTTGAGTGGCTGTTAAAATAACTGCAATTCCAAAAATGGTTTTGTGATTTACGGTTCCCCTTCACGGAGTACGCATAGGGCTCTACACAACTTCCTATCTTTTGCAGCTGTTATATATATATATATATATATATATATATATATATATATATATATATATATATATATATATATAATACATAATTATTTAAAATATGATTCCAAATTTAGACATAATAAGCCCTGTTTTAAAACAATTTAAAACTAATATAATTATTTAAAAGTTTTTAGCTTTGTTTTGAAATATGGGATTTTGCTTATGTCGCGATTTGGAATTTATTTTTAAATAAATAATTATATTTATGCTCTACTTTTGTATCGAGCACTATTTTTAAAAATAATAACTAAAATACTAAGGGACTTTGGATTATTTACCTAACCAGTTTCTTCCTATTTTCTATATATTTTCGCACACACACACACACACATAATAAAAAGACTTTAAAGTCTCTGTTTTGTTACTATCATTCTAATGGTCTGTAGCCTACATTCAGCTATCTCTGGATTTATAACTTCCTTGGAATTATCTCTTCCACTCACAAACTGGTAAAAATATAATAATCTAGGCCCCTCCTTTTACTGTTGAAATATGTAAATGCAAGCGCCACTTCTACTCCAGCAGTTTCTTATCTCGCACTTGTGACTGTGGAACTCCCTTCCCTTTACTTGATTCTTTGATAACTACGATCTTCAAAAATTTAAATGCAACGTCAATCACCATCTCCTGTTGCTGCGATCCCCTTTCTTCTTTTATCGTTTTCTCAATCCCCCCTCTATACGCAATCTTTTCCCTCACTTCTAATCTCTGTAACCACCCCCTACCTGCGTGCTAGTGTCACTCTCGCCTTTCTTGGGATGAAATGCTTAAAAAACGCAATTGAGTATCATCATTAGTGTACATGTATCAAGAGCCTCACTAAGCCGGCATGCTGATTTGAAATTCTGATCACTTGGCATTTCTTTGAATACTTTGACCAGAAATTTGATACGCAAAGTTGACCTGACTGGATTTAGCTAGGCGGGAAAAGCGTTGCCTGGCAACAATTTCGGGTGTTGCCTGGTTTCTTTATCATTAAAAATACATAAAGAATATTTTATACCAATAAACTGAAAAGAAAATGGTGAACAGTTGTGAACATGTGTTATATTTATTAACAATTCAAACAATTTTAAAATAGCATTTGTTTTTGTTTTGTTTTTTTCTATTTATTTTTTTATCTTTTCTCTTTCGTATTTTTCTTTCTTTATTTATTTATACAAACGCCTCTTTCTTCCATAGATGCTCTTATTTCTACCATGAAATCCCTCCTGCTCCTTTTCTTTTTCATCTTTCCACATCTCTCACTTTAACTCCTTGTCTTTCCGGGGTTTTTTTTCTTCCACCTCTTCGCATTCCTTTTTATTTGTTTCATCTTAGCTCTTTGTTACTTTCTCTTTACGTTTATATTTTGACACGCCTACATTTCCCAACGATTCTACTGCTTCTTTCCACATCTTCTATATATTTTTCATCTTTTTCTTCTCTTCCTCTTACCGACACCCGATGCATTTGTTTCTTGTTACAACTTCCTCATTTTAACTAAAAAAATTTATTCTCGTTTATCTCCTTAAATAAAGATATCCCTATTTATTCTTCTTTCCCGTCTTTTTCTTACGTCCACTCATTGTTTCTTTTTGACGCTTTATCTTCTCTCCCTATATCTACTCATTTTTCTTCTTCCTCTTCCTTCTTCTTCCTCTTCTTCCTTCCTTCTTCTTCTCTTCTTTTCTTCTTTTTCCCTCTTTTTCCTTCTTTTCTTCCTCTTTCTTCTTCTTCTTCTTCCTTCTTCTTCCTCTTCTTTCTTTTTCCTCTTCCTTCTTTCTTCCTCTTCCTTCTTTCTTCCTCTTTCTTCTTCTTCCTCTTCCTTCTTTCTTCCGCTTTCTTCTTCTTCCTCTTTCTTCTTTCTTCTTCTTCCTCTTTCTTCTTCTTCCTCTTACTTCTTCTTCCTCTTCCTTCTTCAGCCTTCTCTCCCTCTATCTACTCATTTTCTTCTTCTATTCATTTTATTTTCTTTGTTTTTTTTAATATTACCCCATTTTTCTATACAATTTGTAAATTTGGGAAATATCCTTACACCTTTTGCTTTCATCATTTATGATATTTCATTTGGCATCCTTACCGACGCCCAGAAAATTAACTAAAATAAAATAAACGTAACTATTAAACAGATATGAATCATGCTTTCGTTGATGTTTTTAAAGACGTCGTTTTCACATGCCTCTCCATTTCCTTAAGTATTTTACCAAAATGTTCCCAAAGAAAATCTTGCTAAGATAATCAAATTCGAAAAAAAAAAGAATAACTTTGGCCATGTTCCAACCGAGAAAATTCAAAGAAAGAAATTCCCATAAAAAAAAATCAAAGCAAAAGAAAACAAATCATTTCTGGTTCTCTCATTTGCTGGAACAATTTCGATTTAAAATGTTATTTCATGAAAGCAGAAAAAAAGAATAAACCCTCTTCGACAAAGGTTATAAATTTTGTTACATGTATGACCAGAGTCTTAAAGGACACTTACAGCCATTAGGATATAGATATTTAAAGTTTGATGCTCCAGTATGTCATCAAGAGGGAAGATAAATTTTATTATCAAGGAATCAATTATTCATTTGGAAAATCATAATCATAAGAAAAAAAGTATAGTGATTTTTATATTAACAATGCAACAGGCCCAACCTTCCTCAAATCCATTAGCATGTAACTTGACTGTATAGGTATTTAAAGAGAACCATTAATTACAAGGAAGTGGAACTCCGTGCTAATTAGCAGAGATAATAAACAACGCAATACTAAACAGAACAATTTTCATACACAACAACCTAATGAGCGTCCATGATTGTTACCTGAAACGCACAAACACACGCCACACACAATAACTAACTCACATAAGCATGTACAAATACACACACAATTACCGGCTGCAATGGATAAATTGTCATCTAAATTACTAAAAAAGGAATATAACACTGACATCTTATTTTAATAGATATAATCACCAAAATTTCGAAAAAATATCTTGAAATAATAAAGAGTAAATTCATTCAATAAAATCCGCATTGTCTTCAACCACGGCCTTCAGACGATTTCGGAACCTCCTGCATCTCTTCCGGACGGTCTCCTATAATAATACTTATCTTCAGTTCATCTTTGGTGTCACAAGGAATTTTTCGGTCACTCACTCAGCTGAATGCCAGACATTAAGTGTGTTGTAATCTGGGAAGTTAGGTTGCCAGATGTCAGTGATGATATGGTCGCAGAATGTACTTGAGAAACATGACTCGGATCTCCTGATTATGGGGTATGGTACAGAGACAAGTTGTCAGACATAGTCTCCCAGAAGGCACGCTCCTGACCCAATGCTGCATTACCTTCTCAAGACAGAAGTGGGAGGAAACTCAGTTACAGATTCTGGGATTTCTTTCTTTTCAGAACGATCAGAGATTGTTTTCCCATCTGGCGTATCTTCTTAATCACCATTAAACTCATCCAACTCTTTCTAAATCCTCTGCACTGATCTCAGATTGAAACCTAAACATTCTAAAATATTCGCATTAGAGCTTCCGCTGCGAATGCTAAGCAGTACAGCATGTCGTTTCAAAATTTCTGGGGGGGTGAATTGCGTCATCGTGCTCTTTGTCTCACAGACGATGCTCTCCTGACCCTACTCGACTGTACAGTCGACAAAATTAAAATCAAAAAACGCGTATGTTCAAAAATAAAATGGCGTCAATTTACCCATCATTCCTTGTTGCTATGCCTACGTATTTCCAAAAGGGTACAGCATATGACATGCCCGCAATGTTTATGGAGATTGATTGCCTGATTTACTTGTTACAGTTTATCAACCATTTGCAGGTTATTTAAAGCCGACACCTCTTACAGTAAGCGGTGATCACAAAACATCCCGTTTCGATGTATTGACCGGGCTTTACGCAGCTAGACTTCAAAGATCAAAAGAGAACAGGTGTTTTCAGCCTGATCTGAAAGTAGGTCCGTTTTAAGGTGAAGACGTTCTACAAAAGATACTTTTAATTATAATCATAAGGTGAATACTGAAAACGTTAGCGTCATATAAATTTTAAATAAATTTTAAGCATTTCTCACACAAACGGTACATCGATCTAGACGGAAGATTCAAGTAAAGTAATTGAATGATGCAAGTCAATTGATGGAGATTTCGTGGAAGATTCTGTTGATAACAAAGGATTTGCTGGTAGCGTAAGTTACCTTCAGAGAAAATGATATCGGGGAGCCTGGTTCAAATTCCGACCTATGTGTTATTTTTGCACGAATGCGCGTGAGATATGCATGAATGTATTTCTTCACTCCTCCGCCAAGTATTTGTTAACTAGAAGAGATGTCTATGTTCTCTAGACATTGAATGCAGACAATCTAAGAGAAAGAGAGCTTTGAATAAAAATATAGGTGAAAAGGGTCAGGCAATCCAATTTGGCATATCATATTGAATATAGAGAATGACAATAAATTATTAATGATAAAAAAATAAATATATTTTTTTACATTTTTTTAGTAACTGCTAGCACAACTCTGGGTTTCATGCACAAAGCAATCCCCTGGGGCTGATTGTCAGCTATCAATTTTTGCTAGTGCTGAGTAAAAACAAATGTATATTTATTATTAATATATAAATTATAATTAATTTTCTCAACACGACACAGACGAGGTGGATCAGTTATAGTCTGGGGTTCATTTTCGTACAATGGAACTCTCGAGTAACAGGCGAAAAATGTCGTCAAACAGCTGCTAGTTACATTGACATATTAAGAAATGCATCTCTAATGACTGAAAGCCCTCATGAATGAGGAGAAAACTGGATTTTCCAGCAGGGCAATGCTGCAATCAAAAACGCTTTCCAGATTGAAACACAATCGAGAATGTTTGGGAATGAATGGCAAAGGATGTTTATAACCATGAATGGCAATTTGAAACTGGATATTCTTCGTTCTGCAGTTTATGAATCCCGGACGAGGATTCAAAACACCATCATGCAGAAGTCAATAATGAGGATACCAAAGCAAATTATCGAAGTAATTCTCAAAAATGGAGGAGATACTGAGAATTAAATTACTCTGTATTTGCTATTTTTATTTACATGGTCTTATCTTTATGACCAACCAAAGAAAAGTGTTTTCAATGTTTACTAAAATTAATCAATTAAACGCTTAAAATGTTCACTTGTATGTTCATAAAGTATATTTTATAATTAAATGTAAATGTTTTGCAAATGTATTTTGATTAAATAACAGTATTTTATTTTTTTTTTAACCCTTTTGTATCTGGTCTTAAGATTTTGACCAGGGGTATATATATATATATATATATATATATTTATATATATATATATATATATATATATATATATATATATATATATATATATATATATATATATATATATATATATATATATATATATATATATATATATATATATATATATATATATATATATATATATATATATATATATGCATATATATTGAAAGCTATATATATATATATATATATATATATATATATATATATATATATATATATATATATATATATACATATATATATATATATATATATATATATATATATATATATATATATATATATATATATATATATATATATAATAAACACTTGCGTAGATGTGCTTGTGACCTAGGTTTCACGCCCTTTGCGATCGTCAGACAAACTGAGGCGTGAAACCTAGGGTCCTAAACTATCAACGCATGTGTGTATTATATATATATATATATATATATATATATATATATATATATATATATATATATATAATAATGGTAGAGAGAGAGAGAGGTGGGGATGTGAATAGTAATAGTAAACAATGGAGACTCTGGAGAAATATCATCGCCAACATTCTGAAGTGATACTCAAGAAAAAGAGACCAAAAAATGAGAGCGGTTGTAGTTGATCTCATATATTATGCATGATTTCCATGACTGGCTTTCAAATGTGTTATGTAATCCCGAATTAGTATCAGCCAATTTATCTTTCTAACATTTTCATGTTATCTCTTACATAAGCCACAAATCGTGTGTGTTCCACCTCATGACATCTACGCTTTGAGTACTTATAAGTGCTGTAATTATTAGTAAACTTGTCTTGCACAATCAATAACTACTCAGTAGTGAATTCGCACGTCACTGGGTACTTTTCAGTCTCGATATTGCGGCATATCTCCCCTATCCTTTATAAATCCTTATAATATCCAATCTTACTGAAAAATATTCTTTGACGTTAGGTTTTTTAATGCAAACTTATGTAATAAATCAACATAGATCTCAAAGTTAAAGGTACCGAAAAATATAATTTAATATACTTTAGCACGATACGTTCATAAATTATTCGATTATTACACGGCTTTCATATAGATTCCTTGACATTCTCTAAAATTCATCAGCCTTTTTCCAATTCACTTTGTTGACATTTCCATCGTTTCTTGTCAGATATTTCCTGCATTAATATATATATAT